AAATCAATTGTACGTGATGCCAAGGCTATCAAACAGTCTGGTATAAATCAAGTGCAGACTTTTTCCAGCTGAAAAAAAATGTCCATCGAACCCTCCTCCTGCGTGATTTATACCTCGGCTTCGCCACAACGCAGCACACGTGCGCGCATCCACACAATCGACCTAGTTTAGTGAGATATTATTTTCTTCATTCACTTGAAATCAATTATATATATATAAATATTACAGTGTTTTTATTATTGTTGTATGGTACTTTTTTTTCATTAATGGATCTGTGGTAATTACTAATCATAATTTCAAGTCATACAAAGAAAGTACGTTCAGAACTTTTTGTAATACTGACAGTATATTATTAAAATTAGCTTACTATTGAATATGTAAATGATTTGAAGTTTTCATACAGTTTTTATTTTTATTTTGTTGCTTTGTCACTATTAGAGTTATTACTCCTTTATTTAACTTTCTTTTCGGCGGAGGTTTTATACATTAAACTGTTTATCACAGTTTTAATTACGGTTTACTGTGTTTCAAGCAAAATTTAAAAAATTTAATTTAATTTTTATTATATTTCTTTTCTTTTATCATGTATCCGATTAATTTTCCAATATACACATATTTTATACTTTCATACTTCACATATTTCAATATTAATTTAACTAGTGAAAATAAATTGCTAGAAAAATTATTTTCAATTTCAAAATTTGTTGACACACAAATAAAAGCATTGATTGGAAAACTTTATTTCTGACGGATGTTCCGCAATGTAAAATTTATACAGGGTGTCTCGTCTTCTCCTACATGTCAAATTGAACTAAAACGTGTACAATGTCGGATTCTCAATTGTAGCCGAGATATTTCACTTCAACCTGTCACAACTTTATTCCAGAAAGTCCCCTTATATTAAAAAATAATGAAAATTGAGCGGAGAAGAGCCTTTGGTTCAAAACTTTTGATAAGAAAAAACAAAAAGCTTCAAAAATTCAATTCAATTTTCACAATGTTCACCTGATTACATTCTATTACTTTCTTAATTTTTTTAATATAAGTTTCAAATATTTAATGGCTCTTTTTAAACAGTTAGTGAAGCAAAATTAAATTTTTAGCAATTAAAACGTAAATTTTATACTGATGATAACTGACCTTTGAGAAATTACGTATATCTGTTTAATTATGATTAGTAGGGGAAACTTTTTTATGGACAATATCTGACCTGTATTTGCCGAAAAAGATGGAAATGTTACTTAAACTTTAGATAAGAACTTTCGAAACGTGTAAATGTTTTTCTTCTTAGTCGTTTTGTATTTTTTTTTGCTTAAGTTTACAATAACAACAAAAATAACTATCATAGAGTATTCAATGTTATTTCCATTAGTGCCATCGAATTTATTTTATAATTATCATTTTAAATCATTTGCAACCAAGTTGTGAAAAACTGATCGGAAGAAATATCTAGGGTACATCGGTCAATTAAAATTTGGACAATAGGTACATTTTAGTCCAAATTGACACCTAGGATGTCCTGAAAAATATTGACGTCTAGTCACTAGAGAGGCTATATAATTTCAAATCTGTATTTGAATATATATCCCGACAGTCCAACTAAATTGGATAATTTGTAATTAATTTATATCGTACGTCAATCAGGGATTGCTGTAGAGTAATTAGTCAACGTCAAAATATAAAGATGGTCGAAATTTTGAAAATCCAAGTTCCACGTCGGTCTTTACGAGATTAAACATTAAAATGGATTATCAGCACAAATATAAGATGCTGTACAAGTACTTTCCGAAGGGCGAAAGAAGGAAATGGCTTCGGATTGAATAACGGAATATTGAAGAACGTCACTGATTGTCACTCTAGTAGGACCACTCTCCTACACGTGCTTCCAGCCTTACAGTCTACTTACTATGCATTTCAATACTTTTTCTAAATCATTTCCCAATATTCTTCGTTGGCTATTAGTCATGTGGGTACCCCATGTATCCGAGGTTATTTATCGTTTTGCCAATATTTTCTTCGGATACGAGTTGCCAATAGTCCTTTCTTGTAACAAATATTTATTTCGAATATTGTCGATACAAAGATTTTCTAATTTAACTTAATTCTTAACTTCAAATCAAGGCTGACTGTATTAAAATTAAATTAAACTGTATGACCCTATTGAGAGTCTGCCGCGTAATGGAATTGTAATTTGGTCGTTACTGATCATTTCGGTCCGCCTATCCTCGCTGGGTTTGTCCGTCAGACGGGTTTTGCATTATTCAATGAGTCTGTGTGATTTGCCTTTAGTCACGTTCATTTTATAAAGTGCGTTGAAAGTCGAAGATAAAGCAAAGACGAGATATGTGCGAGACTTCCTTCTTTTTGAGGATCTACGGTTCATCTACGCGATTTAGATTTTGGGGGGTTTTAAGCAGGCCGAGGCAGGACACTTTTTTGAACTTTTCGCTTTAAAAATGTGTAAAGGACGGAACGAAAAACACGAAAACAGCGGCGACAGACAAACCAAAATGACCGGAAACGACCTAATTCATCACTCCGCTGACCCCTAGAGGAAATCTCGCAATATCCAGATGTTCAACAGTTGATATCCTAGTATATTATACAAATTAAAAACCAGTAATTTTATACTTACTTTGACAAATGCCTAAAAAAAGCACTATTTTAAAATATTTTACTATAATGTTTGATAAATAATTATATACCGTACAATTTCACTCATATAAATTATCATTTTTCGAACAGTTCCCTATAATCAGAGTTGGGCAAAATCTAACTAATTAATTAAGAATTTTTAATATTTTAATCATGATTGAATTAGTCATGAGTAAATTAATCATTATGTGATTTAATCATAATTAATTCAATCATTCAAATAAATCATATAATGATTAATTTACTCATGACTAATTCAATCATGATTAAACTTCTATCAAAATTCTTAATCATGATTGAATTAGTTTGATTTTGCCCAACTCTGGCTACAATGACCAACTTACCAAAATTCAACCGACTCTGGATAAAAATTTTGAGATGAGAGTCGTGCTCAAGGCCAACCTTCAAAAATTGTTATCATAAACGAAAACCAAAGTTACATAATTATTCTACATGTCTATTTTAGTACAATCAAGACCCCTAGATGGTGTATTTTCCAAATAATGTAGAAATCTCTCCTTTTAAGTGGAATAAATTTTAATTCAAAGAAATATTTTTTACATTCATCGGTTATATAAACATATTTACTTTTCAAAGCGTAGCTTGTTATAGGATTTTTTTTAAATTTTATTATTATTATTATCATTATCATTATTTTTTGGCTTTTCATAACGATGGAGTTTTACATATAATTGGAAGATTGATTTTCGTTAAATAAGGTGTTAAAGGATTTTCGTTTTGATGAAATAAATTTCTGTTAGAAAATTTTTTAAAAGTGATGAAGTGTATTTTTCATTTTCTGAGCACCCACTTGAACATGATCTATCGAAATTTAGTCATGACTAACTATATTGTGACTAAATTAGTCATGCCTCGTATTTAAATACTAGTCATGACTAATTTAGTCATCAGTCACATATGGCGACTAATGACTAAATTAGTCACTTACTACCAATCATGACTAACAGTCTGAGTGATCAATCATAAATCATTAGACATGACTAATTTTTGCCCAACACTGCCTATAATGAACACATGTTCATATATGTTCTCAGTTTAAAAATAGTGAAACTGTCCATTCAGTCGGGTCCATTTTAGAAGTTTGTGAAAGATAGAAACTAAGAAAAGTCGATAACTTTAAAGTTTTGAGAATTCCTTCGTGCTGAGGGTCGGCAGATGGCTAAGTTCAGACATGTTTAAACTTTCTACTTGATTATAAACAGGTTGAGGCAAGGCAACCGTTTTTAATTATTATTATGTTTATTTCTTCCTTTAAATACCTTGATGACGAACGGCCTAAGCGAAACTAAAACAACGCGTATAGGAAGGCCAAAATGGTCGGTAACGAGCAAATTTCAAGTTTATCACCCCCTTGACGGCATGGAAAAATCTCTCGATGAAGCTGAAGTTTGATCATTTCCAGTTATTGTGTTGTTTTCATCCTCGCCGTCGATCAAATGCGTTTCTGGTAATCGGATGATGAAAGAACCAAATAACAGGATAATCGCCCGACATGAAATCTCGCAAATAATATTTGAAATAGAAGGACAAAACGGCGAGAATAATCAGACCCAAATAGTCGCAAACGACTATAAATATTACTTAACGAAAAATATATTGAAAAAGTCCGGTAAAAACACCAGTCCACGCCAGTATTTCGACCGGTTTTACGATTACGTACTTTCAATCACTCACTAGACGTTTCCAGGACCAATATAAAACTTCTCTTATAACCTGAACTATCTTTTAGTAAAATAGTATGATAGAAGTCTGAAATCTAAACTGCAATCTATCTGTGAAGGATAAGGTAAAAAGCTTTCCGTCATTTTCCGTAATGTTTTTAGTCCACTTTTCTCCAGGTCGATGCAACATGACGGGCTGGAGAAAGTCCAACGACCCCCCCCCCGCGGACGTTGTCATGTCACGCGTTTTGAGGTCGAAAAGGTGAAATTGCGATCGGTTTTCGACTCGGCCAAGCGTATTTGGTGACGGTGTCGACAACCAAGGCAAATAGATGAACACATTAAAGGTGGCAGGGGCCCGATTTTCGTTATCACTGAGATGAGGTTGAAAAACTTTCCTTTTCTTGCATTTCCCGGTTCACCACGCTCCACAGAGTTTATTGGCATATCCAAAATACTTAAAATAACGCTAATGCAAAATTTAAAAATATAAAACAGGCTAAAAAAAAACTTGCAAGCAAACGTCAATAGAAAACAACTAACGTACTAAAAAGGAAGTTTTTTATTTTAGAAAAGAACGATAGGAAAAACATGTAAAATTCTACGACAGTAAAATAGCATGGTAGAAGATCAAACGGGAAAGTGAATTAAAAGCGAAATAACCTGCGTTTCGTTGTTCTCCCCGTCTATTTTCACATGTCCCTAAAAAAGAAAAAAAGAAGAAACAAGTTTAATTTCATAATTTTCACAAGTCTGAGTCGGCTTTTATATTCAAATATCATGCCCATGTACTGCGTAAGCAAGAGGCGCAAAAAGGGATGGGGAAAAGGTATCGATCATTTTTAGGTATTTACGCATTCGTATATCGAAAAAAAACTGTGATGAAAATGTGGAAGAATGAATAAGACAAATATAATATTAAAAAATTGGAAAATTCTTCATTATTACAGATAATAACACGAATTCTGAAAATAATTGTAAACAATTCTTTACCGACAACTAAAACAAAGGTGTTGAAAATTGACAATCAAATCTGGGAAGTATACAAGTGAACTGCCTTTTAAGAGACGTTGGAAATTAACCATTAATAATGGATACTTGTCATGCGATCAACCAGCCTTTAATACGATGTTGATTGGGATTCGGGTTGTGGTATTCAAACTAGAAAAAGACAAGGTCTCTCTCCAAAGATCGTAACAATACTTGCATACATATTTATTTATTATAACAGGCTGTGATAACATAGAATTACCAATGTACTAGAAATTAAGATCTTGTTTTAAAAATTGTGGAAAATGATTGTTATCAGTAGGCGATAGTGTGGGGAACCTCCCACCTGATAACGTGATAAACACAATTTTCTAGTCAAACGCCTGTGATATTTATGTACCTAAAGAATACTAATTGTTAAGTAATTGTTACTGTTTTAAAAAAATGCATATATATGTAAGAGATTATTAAGAAGAGGTTTTTATTGACTTATTTATTATGTATGTATATAGTTTGTAAATATACATATCGTGAAATGTGTAATGTGTTTAAGTTATGACTTTGTATCTGTAAGTAACAACAAACTGACAAAATAATTTATAACTATTTAAACGATTATGTCCCTATGTCTCTGTAGATCCCCTGAAGAAGGCAATAAAACTTGCCGAAAGCTTGGGCGTTGATATAATGACATTGTATGTTTGAAGACCACTACCCGAATCCCAATCAACATCGCATTAATAATGGAGTTTAAAGTGCAAGGATAGGCCCTACGGTTAATATCGATGGCATTCTTGACCCTATATTCAAGACCATCCACTTCAACTACAAAGCGAAAGAAATATTGCGCAGAAGCCAGATAGCAAAGGAAAGCACTATTCTCCCACACCTAAAATTTTTGGCGAAACCACTAACATTTGGCAAAAGGCCAAAAGAACGTAGGGTAAGCAGGAAAGGTCAATTTTCCTTCTACCGTCGAGGCATTTCCATTTTTAGAATAGTCAGCACTTCAAATTATTTTTCACGTAGATCTTTATTAGACATTATCGCTTCTTAAGGGAATCGATCTTTTTGGATTGACACATTTAAAGGAACACTGGTTATGAGCATAAAAATCCTTTTTTTGATACCACATCTTTAGGCACACGTGAAAGAAAGGACAAATTAGAACCGAACCTGTAACATTGTAAAAGTCTTAAAAAGACAGGTACTACTGGAGGTGGCAGTAAACTTGCCAGGGAGGTTCTTGAGCAATATTAATCAAACTCCGACTATCCTAATAAATTTTAAACTTCCATAAAAAGGAATATTTTACTAAAGGATCAATATCCAAAGACCCACAGGTCGTAGGACAACACCCCAGGACAACGTCAAAAAAGTAGCCTAAATTTACAACAGATCTACTGTTTATACCATTTTATCAGTTAGTTTACTGCCAATTCTTGATAATATCCTTGAAAACATCCCAAGTATGCAAATAATCTCCGATTATCAATTTGGATGTGGCAGGTTCAACAGTGCCATCGTGTTATGACAGCATAGCATCTGCCCTTGGTAAGAACGAATTCTATGGGGTTTTCACTCGATGTCGAACAGGCTTTCGATCGAGTCTGCACCTGGGTTTGCTCTAGAAACTCAAATGCATCCTATACTCTACAAATTAGAGTATGGGCCAGATCTCCTGGCTCTCCTTTCTCGAGAGCCCTCGACGTCTTTGTTTTGTTACGTTATTTAGTTTATACTGCTGATATTCATTCCCATCCCGAACTGCCATTCTACTCCTCAACTCCGAACCATAACAGCTCACCGAATCATCAAAACACACCAATATTTCCACGAACAATAATTTAAAAAATTGTGAATTAAACTCAACACAGCCAAATACGAAAATATAACCTTCGCGTAGGACCCTTCTTACCGATAATGTCATACGCTACCTTGGTCTGTATCTAGGCATACGACTGACCTGTTTACTCCATACTTAACTAGCACATTTCTAAACTATCTCTCTACAACATAATACACATACAACCCAGTAGTAAAACCAATATGGACATATAACATACAACTAAGTAGTTCAACCAAACCTACTCCGCAGAATCCACCTACAATCACGAATCAAAGATTCGTTGTCAACGTCGTCAATGTTTTACGTGCCCAACCAACATTCACAACCTAAATGTTCCTTTCATAAAAGTTCCTTATGTTCAACTTTCTTCCCGATTATCCTTTTTTATTGGGCCATTTTGTGGATTTCGTGGAAGTCTTTCTTTTATCAAGTAGGCAATTCTTCTCAGGGGTATGGTATCAAGCTCTGCATGGCTAATGGAGGTACCATATCCTTTTGCTAGCTATTGCGGGGCAGTTGCAAAAAATATGCTCTGCCTATTCTAGACATAATCGACATCGGTGCTCTTGAGAGTACCTTTTTCTAAGGTAGTATTTTAATTATTCAGAAATCGTGAGATGCCGCATCTCACGATTTCTGAATAATTATCGATTAACCGTCACTAATCACCACACATATCTACATGGGTAGTATTTTACTGGAGCCTGTTCTGTAAATATACAACGTAGAATTTTTATTCCTTTTTGTAATAAGTAGTATTTCCTCTTTTTCTCATCGGGTTGTTTTTGCAAGAATTTTTTTCCTTGCCTTTTCCCTAAATTTCGCTCCCAATATTTGTTCTGTTCTTAGTTACTCAACATCCAGGCCATTTTAATCCGGTTTATGCCGAAAATGGATTAGGACCTTTGAGCAGTTCCGAGTTGTTTTTTTAGCAAGTGTATCTTGCTACCTCGCCGCCTAATATTCCCTCATGACTTGGGACCCACTTTAGCGTTAGGCTATTTTTAAGATCCCGGTTTTATTAGGGTATTCAAGCAGTACCACAATAAATTTCAAGTGATATCGTACGTTTGGAGTGCCAGGCTACCTGAAAGAATTATTATTGTTGCACGTTTGAGATGTTTATTACTTAGTTCATTGCACATGTTTTTATTGCTAGCAGTTCAGGTAGATTATTCGTTTACAACCAAATCTAATATCATAAAACCGGGAACTTAAAATTAAAGCCTGCTAATATTGCCTCATTAGGCACATGAAAATACTAGATTTGGACAAATACAGACTCACTTTCTGTCAAGAAGACGAGGAAACTAGTCCATATTATGTTCCAGCGAATGGCTAAAAAGGAGATTTCTCCTAACGAGCAAAAGAAAAACTGAGTAGCCAATATCAAGGCAATGGTCGGCAATAAAACCCCTAAAGGTAGATAGCGAGCCATAACCCATATGTGGTGGATCACAGCTTTCCTTCACGCAGCTCCTTGCTATTTGGCCATCTCAACAACAAATATGCAATCTACAATACAAATGGGACTTCGGATATTAATATAATGACCAAACAAGAATTTATAGCCCGAAAATTAACTCAACTTAACTTAAAACTCTTAAATCCCTTAGTCACGTATTTTTTATTTCCCTATTAACAAATTAACAGAACTTTCCTAATTTATTTTCGTCCATACACGTATTGCAGCTTAGCTGTCGGTTTGTACTATGGGACAATATTTATTTTCACAGATATCAGGACTGAAGCATACAATTTTTTCCATCGAAAAAATTTATATAACTAGTGAATTGTTTTTTTTTTTTTAATTCTTTAAAAACATAACCATGGAGGATTGTTTGTATTGTTTCCAAATTGACAACTCTGTCCACAGTGTATATAATTTATGTTACAAAAAACAATGTGCTTAAGCGCAAAATTAGTGTGACTATATTGCACACAAGCACACGCACTCGGTTAATTTCCAAAGTCGAGGAAAATATTAATTTTTATTACTTACTTGGGGATAGATTTCTTCAGGGGTAGCAGCTCGCTGATCATGTAGGCCTATTAGAGCTTGAGTAATGGGAAGCAAGGTTCCACCTCTGAAATCCCCGCCTATCATCTGGAACAGAAACGAAAAGAAAAAATTAGTTTCGAAAATTGAGTTTTGAAATCAGCACCCGTTTCATGGCTGTTTTCGCATCATCAATTGATTTTCGTTTTGACTATGCTGAGGCAGGCCGTAGAATTCAAAGACTTGTAAACCGAGTTAGAAGCTGGCAAAATTGAGATGAAGTTCTTGACAGCGCTGAAGGGGCTGCAATTACACGGGACCCATTGTTTAACTTAATTCGAGGAAAGTTATGTGAGAAGTTAACCGACATTAAACTTTATTATAATGACAAATGATCCCCCCCCGCGAAGTCGGGTCGGGCAACGACTAATAAATCGTCTAAAACCACTGTTTTAGAGTGATTTTATTACAAAACACGACCTCATCATAACTTTGGTGCTAATGCAAAAGTATGAATTTGTATTTGGACCGAATTTATTTAACTTTCTCACAGCTTTACTGTTTTATTAACGCCCTCCGTTCAAAATTATTACGTTTATTAATAATTAGTTACGTTAATTGGTATCAATTTCTTTGCAACTTGGAAATGCTGACTTGGTATCCTACGTGGACAAAATTGTTGAAGAAACATTCCAGGATCTGAAGGTTGGCAAAATTGGCAAGGACAATCTGTTAACTCAACCGAAACGGACTCGATGGACAAAGGTAACCGATTGCACAGTGGGTCAATTCTCTGTGTTCATTCCGCTGAGTGTAATTGGCTTATGCGAATCCAGAATTATTCAAACCTCGACAAACGAATTGGTCCATACTTAAGTTGGTACTTCATCAATTGATATTGGCCTGTGAAATGAAGAAATATGGGAAGAAAGAATTGTCAACGATGCGAATAAAGGTGCATGCTTTGTTACTGAAGAATAATACCACAATCTAGAGCGAGAAGGGGTAAAGGACATCAAAGGGAACTTGGAAAAACAGGACAAAATGAACCTTCTCAATTTCATCCTAGAATTAAACAAAATAGAGCCTACCAAAACCGTGGGGTTAGGCATTAACACTGCCAATGAATTTTTAATAATTTTCTAAATTGGACGAAATGGCCTTTGCAGATAGGAATGATCAGTTCATGAAAATATTGAAAAAAGATCTGATCTGATCGGTCACTATCACACTGAAGCCTAAAGTCATATTACCATAGGTGTTTGAATCTTTAAATTCTTAAATACCACATTAAAACATCATCAGTGAGTAATAACAGCAGTTGAACCACCAAAGTTAGCAGGTGACATTTCTTAGCTATTGAGATCTTCGCTTTACCCGTGTTGCGGTCATTTTCCGAGCTGGATTCTTACATGATTCAAATCTAAAAATTGTTCCTAGGCCCTTCGGTCCCCAGCCTTCTGTTCCAGTGTATAATTCATGTTAATCTCCTCTGCTCCGCGCAACTTAAGATTAGGAATGAATTTTTTAAAGTATTCTTCTTCTGCACCAGTTTTCCATTTCGAGACGGCAGTTAAGCTCTCGCATGATTCATAACACAGGGGTCCTTCCTATTAAAAAACTTAATAAGGCATCCTTTCAATACACGTTATACAATGTATGATTTTGTACGCGATTATGATCATTCTGGTCTGCATATGATTACTGATTTGGTCAGTTATATGTGTTTCCGCTTCTGGCGGTTTTAAGTAGTGGTTTTCTATAATTTTCTGCCCTGACCGCCACTAAACAAGACGGAATACGAGTAGTAGTAAATATCCAGTACCAGTACTGAAGATGGAGGTAAGCCAAAACACGTCTGACAGCCCAAGAAAAATCTATACTGACAAGCAAAAAAATCCGCCCACTTGTAATATCACTTATTTGTATATATTAATGCAAGTTTCATGTTTTTTAATGTCTAATAATTGAGTCTTTGTCTAAAAAAGTTTTTAAAAAAAATAAAGTAAAATGAAAAACAAAATTAAAAATTAAAAAAGACGGACAGACATCTGTTGTGATTTTGTTTAAGATTTTTACTTAACATTTCAATATCGCGTTTTTATTTCCTCCTCTTGCCTGAATTACATCTCGAAGACGCCTCGGCATACTATCTACCAGTCTGGAAATGTCTCTTTGCTGGAGGTTAGCCCATTCCTCACGAAGCGTCCTTTCCAGATCGTGGATTGTATCAGGAAGTGATGGACGTGCTCTTATTCGTCTTTTGAGTTTATTCCATAAATGTTCGTTGGGGTTCAAGTATGGAGAACGGCCTGGCCAGGCTAAGACCGTGATTTTATGCTGATGAAGGTACGTTTGTACTATGCCAGTGACATGTTGTCGGCATTAGAACACGATTGTCGCTGATTTCAACGAGGATAGGCAACGCTTTATGCTTCAATACGTCATTCTCGTAGCGAGTAGCTGTCAAAGACCCTCCACGAACAACAACCAACTCTGTGCGACTCTCCATCGAAATTCCCTCCCACACCATCACTGAGCTACGTTGGAAAGTTGGCTCTGGGAAAATTACAAGGTTCATACATTTCATTTCGCCTTCTCCACGATCTTTCACGCCCATCTGGAGATCATAAAGCAAATCTACGCTCATCTTAAAAAGTACAGCAAACCAAAGCAACGACCAAAAGCTATATTCTCGAGCAAATGGGAGCCGTGCAACTCCGTGTGTTTCTGTCAATTCAGGTCCTCTTACGGGGGGGGGGAGCCATCAGTCTTTATTGATTTAATCTTCTTCAAGCAGTTCAGAAATTTGGACATCTCGAATTCCTGGAGCTGACGAATAACTTGAACAACAGTAAAGTGCAGGTGTCGCAAAATTCTCAAAGTCAAAAAACGGTCATCCTACGGTTCCTTTACCCTAGGGCGTCCGTCGTTGGTAGGTCTTGAAAAAGTCCGGTGGCAAAAGCCGCATACCTGATGTCCGTCATCAATAAGGACCACACCACGCGCAACATCCTCAATAATAAGTGGCACTTTTAAGTTTAAAAATTGAAATTAAGAAAACAAAGATGAAAACTAAACAGTTTGTGTGTGGTGATTAGTGACCGTTAATTGATAATTATTCAGAAATCGTGAGATGCGGTCTGGTGTGATGTAGGTTTCAGAAAAACATTTTCTTTATCGTGCCAACGTTTCGATCTTTATTGAGCTCATCTTCAGGGCCTTTTCACCTCAAAGAAGCCGACGCCTTATACAAAAATGTCTTTTCTATACCGACTTCATTCCCCACCCCTTAAAAATCCAACGTATATAAACATAAAACAGCAAAATCTCACTGGCACTCTCAACACGACACGCAAGAATGGCACAATTACACAGAAGACAAACACTTTGAGTGAGTAGAAATACTTTGATTGAATATATAAAATATTTTGCGTTGTATAAATTCACTTTTCCACATCCAAAATGTAATTGTAATATGTAAACAATGTTTGTAAATCCCAGGCCCTGAAGATGATCTCAATAAAGATCGAAACGTTGGCACGACGAAGAAAATGTTTTTCTGAAACCTACAACACACCAGACCGCAACTCACGATTTCTGAATAACTAAACAGTTTATTGCTTCAGAATTCAAATGTGACTGAATAAACATTTTAAATTCCGTAAAAATTAAACATTTTGGATTAAGGCTTAAGTGTGTTTACGTCTAATTGACATTCCTAATTTTAAACACAGGGTAAACAAATATTTATTGATAAAAACAATGAAACAGATTAAGGGCAGAATTTTCTTTTATCGAGAAAATGAAAAAAAAATAAGTTGGGTGGAATTTTTGCCTGTCACTGTAGTTTAGACCAAGGTGGGTGATGGGAAAAAATTAGTTTCATATCACCGTATCAAAAATACATACAACAAAATAAACCCCCAAATACATATCCCAAAAGGTAGATATAGTCTGATCAATTATAATTTCAACAATTAATATTAAGGTTTTTTGGTGAGATAAAAAAGTCAATGACACGAGCGGGATTCGAACCCACGATCTTCGGCTTGATACGGCGCTGCTGTACCACTTGAGCTATCGTGACCTCGATCCACTCGGACACCAACTTCCCATCTCAACCGCACCTTTTGAATTTTCTCTCCTTTTTGCCATTTTTCAAATTCGAATCCCGCTCGTGCCATTGACTTTTTTATCTCACCTAAAAACCTTAATTAAATGTAATATATTAATTGGTCAAGCGGACCACGAAATTAGTGAATTTAATGATTAAAAATGAAGTATACTTCACTGAAGCTCTCCGTGGCCATTTCATTTGACGTCGAGAATCCAACCCGATTACACGACATTGGAAAAATGGTAAAAAGGAGGGAAAATTCAAAAGGTGCGGTTGAGATGGGGAGTTGATGTCTGAGTGGATCGAGGTCACGATAGCTCAGGTGGTAGAGCAGCGGCGTACCAAGCCGAAGATCGTGGGTTCGAATCCCGCTCGTGCCATTGACTTTTTTATCTCACCTAAAAACCTTAATTAATTGTAATATATTAATTGGTCAAGCGGACCACGAAATTAGTGCATTTATAATTTCAACTTGGGGGTCTACGGTGGCCGAGTGGGTGGGGAGTCCGACTCGTATTTGTCAGGCTAGTAGTTTTGAGTTGGAACCTTGTCGTCAAAAAAAATTGATTTGTTAATAATCCGGAAAAAATGGTAGTTCGATGTTATTAAACCTTCCTGATTTACAGAACTTACTTTACCTTAAACCTTCCGACTTTTCCAGTATTGTTCTACCGTGTATACTTGTCAGTAGCGTTCCAGTTACATTTTAAGTTTGTCAAGTCCCATTTTTGATCATTCTGTGGTGCACATATAAATGAACCACTAAGATGGTTAGATGCAAAAAACCTCCAAACTACAGGTTGACCATTCATCGCTTCACTATCTACTAAATTTCAATTTATGTATTTCAATGTTGTTGTTTTCTTCCGACCAAAACCGTTGTACATGCAGAGAAAAAATAGGCGTTATATCAAAAATTGTTATATGATATCGTGGCAGGAATAAGGCTCTAAACGGAAGGTCTCGAACTAGCAATAAATCCCAGCAG